ATTCCTGTTTCTTTAACTGACTACTTAAAAGAAAAATGAACTGGGAGCTTTATTTCTAGTTTGCATAACATTTTTTAATGAATGACACCATTTCCTAGATAAAAATCAGAAACTGCAGTTATGTGAACAGCATTTCTTTGAACTTCTTGTTTGTTTTTTATCTTTAAACTACAGAACTCAATCACTCTTGCATGTTTAGTGCATTCTACTCCCTTTTCAGTAACTATTCTTCCTTTATCCAAGGCACATCATTAGTGCTCTAAAGCACTACTGAAGAGGCAAGCACCTCCTTTTTGCCATATTTGTTTTACCTGTCAAAAAGACCACAGGAAGAAAGAGAATTAAGAGCTTACTGAATAGAGTTCAACAAATGTAAATATATATATACACATCTCTCTCTCTCTCTCTCTGTAATTTCTTAAATATATGCCAACCAGGAACATGTTCCTAATTCAAAATATCAGGCACAGTTCTATTTGAAAAGCACTAACACAAACCAAAGTGCAATGTGGTTGTTGGCCAGAGCAGCACATCCACCCAGCATGCTGTAATAGCAGGTTTTGATCGCAGACCCGACGTCTCTACGAGTATCTTGGCAACACTTTTAATGCTGCTTAGTTTAGCCAGCCTAATTAATAGTGCTTCAATGAGACAAATAATTCCATCAGCATCAGCACTAAAGAAACCTACAACTTTCTATGTAGTGGCAATTCGCAACCTTCAATTGAAGTGTTTCCTGCTATCAAAGATTTTATAGAGGTTTCTCTTATATGGATTTTCTAACAACACGCATCTTGAATACAGCCCTTCTCACACTGGAAAACTAACCCAGTCTCTCTCCTCCACCCAGCTACGTATTTTTTTAAAAACTTCATTCTGACAAAACTGGGTCCATGTCAGCCAACGGAAGAAGAAAAGTGATAAATGCATGACTCACTGAAAAGTATAAACAAAGAGTGTGATCCCGCAGTCCTCATTTTTTATACTTTTTTTTTTTAAAAAGAATACCATTACAACTGGCACTCTTGATTCTAGAAATAAAAGTTAACAGAATTAAGCCAAACTAGTAGGACTGGTAAAACCCAAGATATTCTCCTGCAGAAGTGGCCAAAACAACACACATCACTGGCTTTCTTTCAGTGGTTCATTCCTGCAACAAAAACCACTCATGCCCGACAATCTTGCCTGAATGCTTCAGCATCTTTCCTGATGTGATGGGGGGGGGAAGAAATAGAGGAAAACAGTAGGCAATTGAAATAAGAACACAGGAGGGCACGAAGACTTACTAGCAGCAAACACTGTTTAAGGGGAGGAGCAACATCTCACTGCTAGAGCCTTTCCAGTGCTAGAGGCATGTCAAACTCCAAACCCGTTTGGCACAAGTAGCATAACTAAATGCTTACTGTTAAGCAAAATGTTTCCATAAAGAGACCACTACTAGCAGCAAAGAGAATTAAAATTAGAGATTTTCGTGAAATCCACTGCCTAATTTTTGAGATGGACCAGCACGAGCAGCAGAAATTAGAACAAGAGGCAGAGGAGGAAGAAAACTGCAAACTAATTCCAGTTTCAGGGTTATATTCACACAGAATAGAAAGGGTGGGGGGGGGGTGCAGGCACTTGAGCTGTTGCTGGCAAGCTTAAAAATTTGTGAGTCCTTGCTGTTATGTCAAGTTTCCCTTAGACACCAATATGGATTTTCAACATAAGCATGCTGCCTCAGCTTTTAAGGCTTCTTCAGGAAATTACAGTATTATATTCAAACAGGAATTACCAAGACACGGTACATTACTAGGTCCTGTTTCTTAAACACCATCTATATTTATTTCACCCATTTTCCAAACCTATAACTGACCAGCTAAAGGATATCCACTCTTTAGAATTAAAAAGCAACCCACAGTAATTTAAACATAGTTTAACTCCTAATTGCATTTCTGCTTCAAATCTTATTTCAGGCTCCATTTTCCTCTCCTACATTGTAAACAAAAATCAATGGGGAAGCCTTCACTTTATTTGTTCACTTCCACTCACCAGCTATGTGTCCTCCTTCAGTCACCAGATAAGGGAAACTGCAAACAATCCTTCCCCCACCCTTTTTATACCGCCTCAGAAAGACCTCAGAAAAAGGTCTTTCTTCAGGCAAACACAAGCAGAAGCTGCAATTTGAGTTTGGTAAGCAAAGCAGTGAACAAGATAAGGCATCAAATCTGTGAAATAGCCTCGCAGCATGGCTGACACAACACTGTCCAGCTCCCCAACAAGGTCCCAAATCACTCGCTTTTGGCCCCTAGAAGTTATTTTTTTTGCCTGCACCATTGCACAGCTTCAGCAAGAGAGCAGGGGAAGCCCAACATTTCTTTAGGCGAGCATGCTGCTTGGTGGTCAGGACACTACAAGAACAAGGATTAAACCACATAAGGAAGAAGCAGCACTGAATTCAAGTGTTCTGCTTCCTGAGGATGTGTTTAATAACCAGGCTCTGGCACCGGCATACGTACAAACACATTCCCCCTGTCTGTCAGAAGGGCAAAGGTGAAGAGGGAAGGGCGAGCTTTTCTTCATTCCTCCCCCACCCCACTTTTGTAGAAGTCATCGACAGTCAATCTTTGGAAGACCATCCATAGGGGACACTCAGTGCTAAGGATTCCAAGAGGATAGGACACTCGATGCCCTACGCTAACCAACTGGTGGGATTTCAGACATCGCTTCGACTCCGAAGTCAGCCAGTGGACATACCAGCCGGGAGTTGATGAGAACCATGGCCATGCTTACGCTCACAGAGAGATGTAACACACCCTGCCTTCCACTGAAGCCTCAAGGCACCAACTAACTTGGAAGCAAAAAACTCTTTCTAGGACGCAATCCTGTACATCACCATCTTAAAATCCACCCCAGAGACTCCCGCCAGTAGCATGAGCGGGAGCACTGAGGAAAACCAGCAAGAGCACAGAAAACAGTCACCTTCCCATAAAAGCATATCCTAACTAGCTGTGCAATGAAACGCTGAGGAAGCGGGATCCTGCTCCAGCTTCATGAAGTGTGTAACGAGCTCCCGGCAGACTCCAGTGAAGTCTAGTATGGGCATTATCAGCTTGGCATCTCTGAAGCTGGCGTTCAACACCTACCCGCTACGCTTCTGGCTCCTACTTGCAAAGCACCTGCCATTTTCTGAGCGACAGTCAACGATGCACCAGTTGCAGGTCCTAGTCTCGGTTGTTACCATCCATCCATTTTCAAAAATGAACAAGGGACCATCCACTCTCAAAAACCAATACACTGCAGCACTGAATCAAAATGCTGCTCTACCGAGCGATGCATTGAACAGGTTGCCTCATACTGTTTCCTGGCAGGCAAGGATTTACTTTCTCTTTTATGTCAATTAAGCAGAGACAACAAAGGTTAAAGAGCACTTGATGCCATAGCCATTAGAGTACAGCAGTGGGAGGGACTATCTCTGCCTTTAAGAGAGGCCAGAAAACATCTGCTACAACAAAATATGGATTCATTGCAGTTAAATGCATTTGCCATTTGGAGAAACCAAAAGAAAAAAAACAAACAAAAACAAACAAAAAACCCCACATTTAATCTCACTAATGAATTTGTAGCATGCATTTTCCAGTATACAAGACTGTTGGCAGGAGGTAACATCTTTTTTTAGACCAACTGATATAATTAGAAAAATAAACTCCATGTATAATCGTAAAATTTATTTTAGAGCTACAGATGTATAATCTCTGCCCTCAAACCTTATCTGTATACATCACACAGAGAAGGGATTACTACAATACACCCCTTACAGAAAAAAAAAAAGTATTGAAACATAACCACCTAATGACTTTCTTCCAACTGAAGTCAAAAATCAGTAGAACTCAGCTGTTACTACAAAAAAACTGCCATTAGAAAATATTTCAAACCAAGCAGACTTCAAAATCTGAACAATCTCAGGGACATCAACAGGGAAGTCAGACTTTGTAGGGGACACCAGACTAAGTTCTCCCTCTGCTCCCATCAGACTGTGGTCTTTCAAATTTGATGTCAAAAGGCATAGTATCTTCTTCAAGTCTTAAGCAATACAACAGAAGAATCTGGAAGCTAAAAGAAAAACTAGAGATATTTATCTGGTAATAAACTTATTTGAAGCCTTCAACACAGCGTTCTACGTTTAGAGGGATGTTAACATAAGGATCCAGTGTTGCTTCTCTACAAACCATTATTTCTTTTAATAATTCAAGCATGCGTTGCACACAAGTACTAACTGATTATGCTCACAATAGTTTTTTACAAAAGGTAACTATTCTCAAGACACTGAAGTTGTAAAATTGCAGGTATTCTTTGAAAGTATTTTACATAGCATTTGTCATACTGAAAAAAAATTCTTAAACTTGCAGTAACACTACCTTTACTGTGTGCATATAGTCTACTTCAGTTTCACAGAGTGGCATAGCTCTCTGATATTAACTGGAAGTACATGCTTGTTCAAATTGTATAGTGGTATTTCATCAAGGATTTACAGCAAGATGTGCAAAAACACCATGATACTATCAATATTAAAACACAATTAAACATTTGAGGGTGAATAAACAGTGAAAAACATGACAATTCTATTTGCATCATTAAAAACATCAAAGCTAAAGACAGGTAGAATCCTTGATACACCCTCTACAGAATCATAGAACAGTTGAGGCTGGAAGGGACCTCCGGAGATCATCTAGTCCACCTAAACCCCCTGCTCAAAGCATGGTTCACCTAGAGCAGGTCATCCCTGTGAGACCATGTCTAGTCACATTTTGAGCATCTCCAAAGATGGAGACTCCACAATCTCTCTGGGCAACCTGTGCCAGTGTTTGACCACCCTCACAGTAAAAAAAGTGTTTTCTTATTTCAGACAAAATTTCCCATGTTTCAGTCTGTGCCCATTGCCTCTTATAATGCCATGGGGCACCCCAAGAAGAGTTCTGCCTCTGTCTTCTTTACACCCTCTCATCAAGTATTTATATACACCAGTAAGATCCTGTGAGCTGCCTTCTTCTCAAGGCTAAGCTATCCCAGCTCTTTCAGCCTCTTCTCAGGACAGATGCTCCAAGCCCTTAATAGTCTTTGTGGCCCTTTGCAGGATCCGGTCCAGTATGCCCATGACTCTCTTCTGGGAAGCCCAGCACTGGACACAGCACTCCAGGTGTGTTTCCCCCAATGCTGGCCAGAGGAGAAGGATCACCTGCTGGCAATGCTTTTTCTAACACAGCCCAGGATACTGCTGGCCTTCTTTGCCATGAGGGAGCATTGCTGGCTCATGGTCAACTTGTCCACCAGGTCACCCAGGGCCTTTTTCTGAAAAGCTGCTTTCCAGATGGTTGGCCCCCAGCCTGCACTGGAGAATGGGGTTATTCCTCCCGAAGTGCATGCAGGGCTTTATATTTCTCTTTACCGAGCTTCATGAGATTCCTCTCTGCCCATTTCTCCGGCCTGTCAGTGTCCCTCTGAATGGCAGCATAAACATCTTTCTTATCAACCACCTCCAAGCAGATCCGTGAACATGCCAAAGTCTGTTTCCTGAAGTCCAGAGTTGTGATGCCCCTTTTTGCCCTGTTCCCTCCTCTCAGGACCCTGAACTCCACCATCTCATGGTCACTACAGCCAAGGTGACCACGGTCACTACAGCCATTGCAACCCTGACCTTCACATCTCAACCTGTCCTTTCTTGTTTATAAGTATGAGGTCAAATAGAGCACCTCTGTCCATTTACTCCTTGATCACCCATGTTAGGAAGTCATCAATGCACTCCAGAAAAATCCTGGATTGCTTACATCCCACTGTGTTGTCCTTCCAACAGATGTCAGGGTGGTTCAAGACCCACATGAGGACCTGGGCCTGCCAACATGAGGCTTCCTCCAGCTACCTGAAGAAGGCATCATCTACTACTACTTCCTGATCAGGCAGTCTACAGCAGACACCCAAAACAATGTCACCCACTAATCCCAACCTGCTCTCAGCTGGCCCATCATCCGTCCTAAGGCAAAGCTTCACAAATCCCTGCTGCTCTCTCACATGAAGGGCAGCTCTCTGTCCTTGCCTTCCTGGCCTGTCCTTCTTAAAGAGCCTGTATTCATCCATTGCAGCACTCCAGCCATGTGAGATATCCCACCATTGTCTCCATGATCCCAAGGAGATCTATATATTTGAAAAAAGGAAATAAAGCTTCTAGATGTTTACATTTTAAGAAGGGACGGTTACAACCCGTAAGCACAAATTTAAGAGAGGTATAGTATGATATCATCTCTTTCCACAGCAGATTACTGGCCATTGACCAAGAAAGCATCTTTCAGGCTTATGGTTGCATAATGGGAGAAACTATGGTAGAACAGTGAAATTTAGTCTAAAAGGTTTTTTTCCTGAGAAAGAGGTGTGGTATGGGAAGAACAGAGGGACTTCTTCTTAAGGAGCTTTCACAAGATTTTGGTATGATAACAGCACCCTGGATTTCAACACCATACATAATAAAGAGATACAGACATTGCCTAAGCCAAATGCCAAGCAGCAGCACACCACTGGCTTCTCTAACACAGAAACTGGGGCACAGGAAGAGGCCAGGGTTTAACCAGGTCTCTCGGTGAAGGGGTCTCGCATCGATCAAGTAACTCTACAGAGAGGCTTTAGCATATAACACCAAGAAGAAAAATTACAGATGACAGATACAATCTGTAAGCTCAAACAGAGAAATGAAATGATTCAGAGTTGCATCAGATTAGGTTTATAAAGGCTACATAAAAATCATTCCCAAAAGAAGAAAGAGTCCAGCAGACTCTTAAGCTAAACTAAGTGCATACATAAAACTTCAAATTAATTTTTTTTGCCATTGGAGTTTTCAAATAAACAACATCTGCAAAAAGTCTCACGGGGAAAGTGGTCTTTATCCTTTGAGTAAAACAACTGAGCAGCAGCAAGACAAAACAGCAGCAAAACAAGAGTTATAAGCTATTTCCACCACCCACTAATGCAAAGAATGCTAGTGATTTAATATAAAAGCCAAAATATAATACTGCATTCAGAGGTTCATAAGACATTTCTATTTTTTTAACCAGTGGAAAAAAAAAAATATGCAGAGATCCCATTTTCTACTGCAAATTCCATGCACAGGGAAATTAAGTTGACAGGATGTATTGGCCCTTAAATTGTAATGTACGGGAGAACAAAACAACATTTCATCAACTACGGACTGATCTATCGAATTGAAAGCATTTCATTTTCATGTGATGCTTTTCATTAGAAAAGCTATTGAAATGCATCGTGGAGAATGTGTTATTTTCTTCTATGAAAGCAATTTGCCAGAAAGCATACTCTCCAGTGAAGTATAGTTTTTGACGTGTAGCAAATGATATACTACACATTACAGCTTGAGTTGAAAAAGCCTTCAAGTTTTCACTCCTAAGGAAAATAGAAGTGGTCCAGGTTTAGGAAAAAAACCCACAAACTACATTTTTAAGTCGCTCTATGCACACCGGTGACCACATACTATAGGTTTTTCCAATCAAATCAGATACACTAAATATTCAACAGAAGGCACTTCGGATCCAACACAGGAGAAGGCATTATTTAAGCAAGTTAAGAGACACGCTCTACCACTGGCCCTATACAAAGCCCTTCCTTTTGAGGCCAAAGGGTGCAGCTCTTTAATTTGTCTTGTAAAGCAGAAGTGGTGAGAAGCACGCTGACAGCTAGGAATTGCTGTTCTGTGGGAAAACAGCCACATCTGCCAAGAAAGACTAGAG